CCGTCCCTCCTGCCATCCCTCTCCAAACCACCAGAACCTTCCGACGCTGCATCAACAAGCCTTACCCCAGCTCCCTGCACGAAGCTCAAAGCTACCCCGCCATCCCCCCACTACCATCAGCCTTACCGAGCAAACACACCCGACAACCCCAGCAAACATGTCGCACTCACACTGTCACGACGAGCATCACGACCACTCGCATGGCGACGGCCACGACCACAGCGATGACATCACGCCCGCGCTACAGAACATACTCTACGAACAACTCGACTTCCCCAAGCTTGTCACCCTCAACGAAGATGAATCCAACAGCGGCCGCGCTATCTGCCAGAAGACTTGGGCGCAGCGCCTCGACCCGGAACCCGAACTGAAGAGCAGCGCCGACGAGCAAATCCTCATGACGGTCCCCTTCACCGGTCAAGTCCGCCTACACTCCATCATCTTGCGTACAAGCCCCGGCCCCGACTGTCCCAAGACCCTCAAAGTCTTCGTCAACGAAGACTCGCTCGATTTCGAGACGGCCGCCGAGAAGGAACCTACACAGATACTCGAGATCAGTCAGACGAGTGAGGTGCAGGAGATACCCGTCAAGAGGGCGAAGTTCGGCACTACCCGTAGTCTGAGCTTGTTCTTCGAAGATAACTGGAGCAATGGCGAGGAGGACGAGACGCGAATAAGCTATCTGGCGTTCAAGGGCGATTTTATGAAGCTGAACAAGGAGGCTGTTTCTGTGCTGTACGAAGCCGCTGCGAACCCTAACGATCATAAGAATATTGTAGGGATTGGACAGGGCGTGGGAAGGAGTATACAGTGAGCAGGATGGGTGCACTGAGCTACGAGTGGTCGCGTTGGAGGAACTTCACATAGTCATGGCGCATGGTATGGCGTCAATGTCAAGTAGCATGCTTATACTACGGTCTGTCGATTCTGCGACATTGACGTACATACAAGCAAATGCATTTCATATTCTGAGAGGTCAGCAAAGGCGCATGGAATGTTTATGTGAGATGACATACTCAGCGTTGTATTTGCGCTTTCGTGGGTATCGTTTCCTCCGTGTATGCATGTATGTCTCTATCCGATCCAAATAGCGCCCGCCATGTGGTTCTGCGCTCAGTCTCTTCACTGGCGCTTGATGTCGTCCCAAACCGCGGAGATCGTTCGCTCTGGGCGTGCCCTTAAACTCGTTCGCCATTTGCGCATGTATTTTTCGTATGACATCTTCCGTTCCCGTATCGCTGCCTCTCGCCCGCTCAAGTATGTCTCGTGCCGCCCAACACCTCGCCATGCACCTTGCCCCAGTCAATCTTCGTGTCAATCTCCTCATCCACTCTGCCCACCACCGCCACACTATCACCCCGTATGATGTACAGCCCAAGAGGCACTTCTTCACTGGGTTCTTCGTCTTCTATCGGTCGGATGATGCGCTCGACGGCTTCTTGGAGGACGAGGTTCATGCTGCCGTCGCACGAGTGGAGGAGCCCGACCATGGTGCGGCCATCGAGGGTGAGGACTGATACGCGCTCTGGAAATAGTTAGAACGACGTACTGGTACGGCATTATAGGGAACTGTAGAGGAGAGAGACTTACTGTTTAGGTAGGCGTTAAGTGCCATTGTGAAGATGTGGTTTAAAAGATCGCTGATTCGGATGTTCGGTGAAAGTGCGTTATTCAGCCGGTACGTGAGGGCGCCTCGACCGTGTTCTTCAAAGTCTTTCTGCGAGGGACCGAAGGAGGCTTGCGCAATGTTTCGCGGTATCGTGTCTTATGGAAAAGGTCGCGACTTGCTGCGGGCTTATGTCGCGAAGTCGTAGAAACTCTGACAGATCTCTTCGACCGGTGAGACTTGAGGCGGATAATTGCGGGTCGGGTGAGCGAGAGGAAGCAACGTGTTGCTTGCGCGTGACGTGGTTTGATTTGAACTGGACATGAAGCTCGCGATGCTTTCCGGTGGAGCTTCAGATGGCACGTGCGTCAAGCCAATCAGAGCAGTCTACCCTCCGCATCGCTGCTCTTCTCTCTTCCCTTCCCCTTCACCACCACACTAGCTGATGCAGCGGTCCGCTGTTGCTTCTCATGTGAGCGCTGAAGATCATATCCTTCGATGCATCCTTCTCCTACTACTGCGCCCCCATCTCACCCTGATTTAACCTCAGTATCTGAGCACTCTACCTACGTAGCCATGTCGCAACCTTGGACTTGCACAGGCAGCAACGAGCACAACAGCGCGTACCATGGTTAAGTGTTGTGGGAGTCAGTGGAACTACTGTATGTCCTGTTCAACATTATTTAACGGATCGTCAGCATGTAGTTTGTATGGAACTGTTCCACCAGCCCCTTCTCCACGACGGACAGCATGGCCAACCTCCCGAGGTCCTTGACGCTGTTCGCCAATACCCTATCCTCGAGGCGCTATGTCCCCATCTACGCCCTGCTGACTTTCAAGCACTTGCAATCAGCAGCTCAGACTTTCGACTCATCATGAAAGGACCAAACGCGCCCACTCTACCTAAGCGGGAAGACCTACATCCGTTCCAACCAGTCTCCAGACCCTGTAGTTGTGACAAGAGTCCTTTAGCAGACTGCCTCAAGCACGGCTTGCCCACCCTACGCAACCTGCTTGGTAAGACCGACCGGACTTGCGAAGAACCACTCCACAAGAAGACTATAGATGCTACTCCCAGGATATTCAATAATTGGAAGTCGGCCATTTGCGATGCTCTCGGTGGTCTGAGCGACGTCAACTCCTGCATGAAATGCATGCGCACCGTATGTTTCCAGTGCTGGTGGTCACACATAATTGTAGAACTCACCATCGATCGAGCACAATATGCATGCGAGATGTGCTGGAAAATGGCATTTGGAAGGTTTCCTCCATTCTCTACTGTCCACCAGACATGGCGTCAGGCTGAACTACGAGGTGACTTCTGCAAATGTCGACGTCCAATTATATATATGTCTTGCATTCCAGGACTCCCAGACGCACTACCTCACTTCCGACACTCTTACTTCAGCCCCATACATTTCTCAGTCTAGCATTAGGAAAGGGTTCTGTTCATGCAGCCTCTGCCTACAACTTCAGGCCACATGCAGCGTCGTATCGTTGGGTTGGATCGGTCGACTCACACAGCCGACCCATGGTTACGTTGATAAGAAACACCCTCGATTGTGTATTCACAGACATATTTCGGCTTTTGCACTCAAATACAACAATACATATTTGACCATATAGTCCCCTTTCACACTCCGACATTGCGAAAGCTCTGACAAGTCACCTGAAGAGACCCTACAAACATGTTTTCCTCTACCGCCCGCATCGCGATGCTTCAAGCCCGACGCTTTCACAAAACCGCCTTGAAGCCTACATTCACTAATGCTACAGCTTCTGAGATGAAGGAAGGTCGTACCCGTTATCACGACACGCACGATCTAATCGAATGTAAACAGTCTCCCACCACACCATCCGACACCAGCGCCCGAGCAGCATGGCAACGCTACCGCGACGTCGAGGCCCACCAGATATGGCTCTCTTCCCCTCGCAAAGAGTCTTTCCAGACGAAATTTTCAACAAAGCATCCAGATCACCCCGAGCCAACGCCCGCAATGACTTTCCGGAAAGACCGCGAGATGCACATAGCTGCACGTCGCGCGTCGGATACCGGGATGGAGGGAAAGATTAACCCAGATCGCAAGCTTGTGGGGACTCGGCTGGGTTACACGAAGGAGACGAAGGAGACGAAGTCACTGCGCTCACGTTGGTTGGACGCGTTGTTGGGTGGTGGTGAAAGGACCTGAATTTCACGCTCGACGTGGCGATCGTTTTGTGTAAGAAGTTTGATTCATTGTGAGACGGGTAGACCTGAATGCATGTATATTGCTAGTACCATAATACAGGGACGCGGTATGGTGTCGACTTCGCTCTCGCGGCTACGTGTTGGTGTTCTTCCCATGGCAGGTGCTGGGCATGGGTCCCGAAGCCCGTGGCTTGCCGACTCAGGTGTTGCTTAGTAATCATCAATAGTCTTCGCGTCTCCCTTCGGCACTCCTCGTTCCATCTCCTCATCATCCTCCATCCGTGACGTCATCACCCGATTCACATCTGCAGCACGTCTTTGCCGCGTCTTTGCGCATCCATACAGTACGGCTGCCGCCATGATGGAAGCTGTTCCGAAGCCTTGCCATCGCGCTTCACCTGAGTGCATCTTATCGCTTGCTCGCTTCTGAACAATCATCTTCGTGGACCTCGGAACAGTTGCTTCTTGAACCGCCATCGCTATTATTTCGCTCAATTTAGTCGATTTGCATCTTACTTGAGCTGTGCACATATGCCAGCAACTATCCTCGTCCTGGTCTGGAAACATCGTTGCGATGGCGGCCCGCGCCTGTCAGTAACATTTACTCAATACGCCACATTGTCCATATTGCTCTGGTGACGGTCCTATCAGTAAGTTCTGTGGTTGTTGTTTTGCTTCCTGAGTGGAACGACAAACACTAGGAGGCTATGATATGTGGTATGATTGTCATCAAGCTACATGATCCTAAAGGTAATCGACATTGACGCTATTTCTGGTCCATCACTGGCAATTGTCACGCTTGCTTGCTATCACAGGGGTTATAAGGAAGGGCAGAGACATATGTATAGAGAAAGCGACGGCTCCCTTCCCTGGTTATCATCCATAATTCGCTACTGTCTCTGGCCTTTGTCACTACGACCAAAGTGGGTGGCGAGTGCGTACAATCTAGCGTTAATGTGGAGAGAAAGAGAGCGGGGCAGAAGGCAATTCCGTTAGAGGCCGTTGTCACGAGACGTTTACGCCTGCACAGTCAGTGCGCCGTTTCCGAAAGAACTGGGCGACCAATCAGCCAAGGGGTGTACGTGTATATCTCACCTTTCTAGTTTTGAACCCGAAGCGTTTAGGACATAATCAACCCCGCATCGATATCACGGCCAGCAGTTGATCTCTAAAACGATTCTGCATAAGACGTCAAGTCTTGATACAATGGGTAGATACGCCAGAATCAAGTTGCAGACCAATGTCGCCGTCACTTGGCTCATCGAAACTGCTTCCGAGCACGGTGAGTATTGATTTCCCCTTCCGCCACTACCTACGTAACGTACTCTCTAACACGACTTTATTGTAGGCAGCAATGTGCAAGTCGGTGGCGATACCAACTCCAGAGCTTCAGCCGCGGCGACGCCCACGAGCACTTCGATCAAGACAGGCCGGTTGAAGGGAAAAGCGCGCAAAGAAGCAAAGAAGAAGGAGCAACTGCAAAGTCAATCACCCGCGCCTAAGATCAAGGCCTCGAAAACAATCTACAAAGTGTCAACTGAGGAGATTCTTCGCCAAGCCCGCTATCTGGAGAACCTTGACCAGGAACTCGTCATGTCTAAGCCTGCATGGGACGCCTTCAAAGAAGCTGTGCGAGGCCGTACAGAGTACGCCACCAAATTCGCTAACAAACAACCGGACCATGAAGGTAACGCCGGTCACGTATACTTTCTCGACACACTTCGACAGGTAGTCGACATGATTGGAAAGGTTGTTCGAGTCCAGGAAACCTCGCTGGATAATTCGGAAAGACGACAAGACACGGGTCTGACCTTGCATAATTTGTTTGGCGTCCTCCGGGACGTTGAGCTGACCGATGATGTACAAGGAACAGCCAACCTGGCTACATCTCCCGACAAAGGTTTAGCTTACGGAACGGCTGCAACTGTACCATCAGCTCGTTATGAGCCGGCTATCGACTCCGACGAGGAATCACGGTTGCGTTGGCTCTGTTTCAAGGACGACGCTGATTCAATTATATCATGGGTAGTCAACCTATGGAAGCAGTACTTTGACCATTCTGAGGAAGATGTAAGCTTAGAGACTAAATCTCTCCTATCAGATCTAGCACTCGATCTGTTGTATAAGATCGAAGACGGCATGGAGCATAACAACGACAAAGTAAAGGAAGCCATGTCCAAGGAGCTAGCCTCACTGAGCAACTGGAGTTCGACCGTCCTTGCCCTCCACGATTTCCGCGCCGCTACATATGAAGGTACAGGATACCCGGTCGTAGTAAAGCTGGTACACAAGAGACAACCCCATCTAGGACTCCATAAATACAAGGATTTCATCTTGTTTGACGCCAGATTTATCCGCTATCTTATAGAGCTACAGCTAGAGATGGTTAGTCATGACAGACCACTTGAGGGACCAAATTGACTGTTCTCAGACACTCCGTTCTGATCTTTGGGAGCAAAATGGACCACCGCCCCCCCACCAACGATGCATCAGTAATGCAAGCCTCGACCTCGTATCCCGCACGATCGCTGGTGCAACTCGTGGAAGCCAGCACTCCATTGCGGCAAGCCTTCTAGACGGGATATGGGGTCTACACAGTCCGAACGCGCATGAGCCTTTCCACTACGCCGCCCGGCTTGCGGAGGTCATGTATGATCAGTCCAACCACTGTCGTTGCGATGGTATATTGTATCCGGAACGGGCGAAAGACAAAACTCTTGAGTTTAACGCCTTGCTCTCGTGGACCTTTGAGTGGCCTGGCGAAATCTTGCGATATTTCGATCTTCGAGCCATTGACTCCAACCACCCTGCCGCAGCTCTCTCTGGATTCCATCGCGACATCTGGAAACATTTTGATCTCAGTATGGCCAGGAAAGAACACATCATCAAGGCATGCGCATCAATTCCCGACCCCGCAGGGACGGCCGAGGCGCGTCTACAATTTGGCGAGGAGCATGTCATGCCATCAGAAGACCCAAACTTCCTGCGCAAGAACAATCCGCTTACACCGGCAAAGCTAGCTCTCAATTTGCAGTTTTTACGAGCTGAGATTGGTTTCGATTTCGCGAACGATGATCTTAGCTTGTTCCTCATGTGCCACTTGTATAACGCACTCCGGCAACTAGGCTATCTTGACGTTCCATGGGAAAAGCTCGACTCACTGATCGACATGCACATCAAGACCATATTTCTTGGTGCACTTCCAACGGAAAGCGCCAAGCAAATGTGCAACCGCGCTTCCATCGCGGTTGGTTGCGCGCCAGAACTTGTTCGAGCTGCAAACACTGGGAAAGGCCGAGTGGCAACCATCAAGAATATGGCGGTATTGAAAGAGAAGAGATTTGGGGCCTTAAGTTTCCCACCCAGCATGGCTATCGTTGCAGATCATCTACATGATCGTGAGCCTCTACGGCGCACATTGACGCGTCTCGATGCTGAGATGGTCGCGAAACACTCTAAAGAGAACAGAAGCTCTCGCGTCAAATCCTTCCTTGACGAAGAAAACCCTACCGCCTTTCTCGATCGTCTTCGCAACCATGTCGCAGACTTCCCACGGTACCTCGCGCTCGACTGTATTGAGCTGACACGCATTTGTGGCGGTCTTCTCAGGAGGTTGAAGTCGGATGACGTGAAAATACTCATGAAGTACGGAGGAGTGGACGAAGTACACCAGCAATATGTCGCGTTGCTAATCCTTCAAGAGCTTGACAATGAAGAGTATATGACACGACCAGGTATGACTGTACCGAAAGTTACGTATGCAGTAGAAGCTGCGGCTATACTGAAGGAGTACATTGAAGGTGGCGAGGATGCTCGAGCAGCGGTTAAAGACTACGTGCAGCGCTGGTAGTTCTGCTCCGCGATGATGACTCTCATACCGTAAATATGTACGCGTAATCTCAGAGACATACCCGCCTATTACCCAGTTCCAGAACCAGATCATTGGCCTTCTCTCTTTCCACAGCTCATAATCCTCTAGCAGTTTTCGTCAAGGTTGTCATAGATTACCTCACGCGCACGAAGCACGCCTGTCACCATACATATACAGTGTTTCCCAATGAAGCCTTATTTCATCTCAGTAACCAGTTGTAGATTTGCCTTAGGCATGCTACATTAAAAGGTTACCACGTCGCCAGCTCGATCTATCCTCCAGGGCTCAGTCCGAGCTAGAGAGTGAGTTATACCCAATGCGGTAAAGTCACTCGGGGGTCCGCACACTCCTTGAGCGCGTCGCAGCGTCCTCAATCTTTCTTCTCCACAACTTCGATGGCGCTCAGGCTTGAAAACAAGAAGTTCGGTTTCCTTCTAACTATGCACTGTCACTTCTCTATCAATCTGGACGAGAATGTGTAAACGTCTTTCAATGCCCGCGGAATCAGCATACGTCCGAATGATGTCACATCGGACGCATTAACCGACGCGGAGGATAGCGCATCAGCACATCATCATGCCATTCGCCCTGTGCTGGCTGAAGGATGTGGGATTGTGCATTTGCTGCTATTATCGTTGCAGCGGGGGACTAAGCACTGCATACCCAAAACAACTCGCACGACCTTGAGCTCGCGGCCCACTGGAATATTGACAACGACCAGCATTTTGGTTTCTATTACACGTTCTGGACACCGAAACTTTTAGTACTGTCGCATCACCTATCGAGTCGGGTATTCTCTCTCCACGTTGGATACCAGCACTTGTCATGTCGTCGACACGCGCCAATGAGCACAACAGCGGGAAACGAAACAGTAACGCATCACAGCTGCCAGTATGGCGCCGAAGACTACGTCGCATAAAGTTACCGATACTCCCAGTTCACAATCAGGAGGGCAATAGAGATCTCGAAGTCACCACAAGCAAAGGCCACCTCTATTTTCTCGACCAGTTTCGCGACAAGGTACCTCTACGCATTCGCAACCGATTTATTGCAATGATCTCTGAGTTCGTGGGAACATTTTTCTTCATGCTCATCGGACTAGGCGGCAACTCGGCCGTCATCAACAACACAGCGGCTGCTGCACAGTTTAATGGAGGCGAATGCTTCAGCAGATCCTGCTAAGATCCTGCTCATCGCTACGGTCTGGGGCGTGGCTGTCACGGTCAATGCCTGGACCTTTTTCAGGATTAGCGGTGGGCTTTTTAACCCTGCTGTAACTATGGCTTTGGTGCTCATCCGCGCCGTACCACCACTTGATGGTCTTCTCGACGTCTTCAGCCAGCTTGCAGCATCTATCTTGGCAAGCGCCATTGCTTATGGACTCCTACCTGAAGGTGCTCTTGCAGCCACTGAGCTGGGAGAGAACACAACCGTCACGCAGGGGCTGTTCATCGAAATGTTCATTACCGCCCAGGTCGTTGTGTCCATATTCATGTTGGCGACGGAAAAGCACAAGGCTACATTCATCGCGCCTGTGGGTATCGGATTAGCTGTATTTGCATGCGTTCTCATGTAAGTCTTCCCTATATTCTCCGCAGCTATTTGTAGTCAGCACTACACGATTAGGGCAAGTTACTCACGAACTATAGGGCTTCAACCTACACCGGCGCAGCCATCAACCCAGCTCGCTCTTTTGCGGTCTGTGTGGTGCAGGGAAGCTTTCCACACTACCATTGGATCTATTGGGTTGGTCCCGGGCTGGGTGCACTGCTGGCAACTGCTTTCTACCAGTTGGTACGCAAGCTGGAGTACTGGACGGTGAACCCCAACGTCGACGACTACGAGACGAAGGTTGGCGAGACCATTCGAGACGTCGCGAGCAGAGTGGCAGACATATCAAATGTTCCAGGCACGAGGTCAAACGATCCGACGAGGATGCCAGAGGGACTGTGATTACTTGACAGATCCACTGAAATTCAATCTGTTCAACACACAGAGTGCATCGGGGCGATGTATGTCTCTTTTGGTCTTTGCATAGAGTACAGGTCATCTCGTGCTTCTATACAGATACGCGTACATGTGCAATGATATAGCTATATTGGAAGCGTCTACAAACAGCAAGAAAGCATTGCGGTATTGATACGGCCATAGCGATCAGACTTATTTGCAATAGAACGGTAGCTTTAGTTGTCAGTCCGGTCCTAACTCCAAGAAAGAAACAATGCGGACGCGATAAGGTCGGACCTGCTTGATGCACGGGCCATTTGGACCCGTTGGTACTGTAGCGTGCCCGAAACCTGGTAAACCCCAATGCCATCATCATCCACCAACATGCCCAGGCATGAAGCAATCCCAATCTCCTTGACGGAATACCAGGCTCTTCACTTTTCACTGACCTTCCTATTCAACATTACTGCGCCGCTTGCAAAGGATGCGGGCAACACGAGGCGCCCACTGCAGACCTTGTTTATCCGAGATGCCGGTTGCTGGTGCCTCTTGGCGGGGACGCAGCGCGCCTTGGGAGGCTTAACACCTGCTCAATGCGGCAACTACGATGCGCATATCAATTAGACTGATAGATGCAGTGGAAGGTAGATAAATAGGTTCGTTGCCTGGCCTGAGCACGACAGGTGCTTTGTTGCATTCGTCTTGAGTTTCTACCCGACGTATCGTTCTTGCTTCTTGCAAGTGCGTCGCCATGCGCTCTTTCGCGATCCTCGCTGCGGCGCTGCCGTTGATTCACGCCATCGACCCTCCGCGCATGCCACACCAACCTCTCGGCAATGGCACAAAGCGTCTGAGTTACAATGAGACCACCAACGCTCCTGGTTCTTTGACGCCCTCAACCCGATCTTTCACCTGGGTTGGCACCGGAGAGGATGGCGATTACATCTACACAGCCGCGTCTGGAGACTTTGTCTTCGAGAACGTCGCCACTGGCGAATCCTCAACTTTCATCTCGGCTGATCAGGTCCCGGCTGACTACTGGGACTACTTCATCTCGCCCGATGCGACCAAAGTCATGTGGGCCGTCAACTACACCAAGCAGTACCGCCACTCTTACTTCGCCGACTACCTGATCATGGATGTTGCGACTGGAGAGTCCGTATCTCTTGATCCCGAGTCCGTCGGCGATATTCAGTACGCTGAATGGAGCCCGGTTTCGTCATCTCAGGTTGCATTCGTCAAGGGCAACAACCTGTACATGTCCACCAATGGCACCATCTCCCAGATTACTGAGGATGGAGGCCCCGACTACTTCAACGCCATTCCCGATTGGGTCTACGAGGAAGAGATCTTTGGCGATCGCTACACTCTGTGGTTCTCTCCCGATGGAACTAGGATTGCTTTCCTCAGCTTCAACGAGACTGGCGTCGGCACATTCAGAATCCCATACTATATTGAAGACGATGCGGAATACGTTCCCGTCTACCCCAACGAATTGGAGCTCCGCTACCCCAAGGTTGGCACCAAGAACCCCACGGTGGTCATGAACTTGCTCGATGTTGAGTCTGGTGAATACACCAACGTTCCCATTGATGCTTTCCCAGAGGACGATCTCGTCATTGGCGAAGTCGTCTGGCTTACTGAGGAGCACAGTAAGGTCATGTACCGCGCTTACAACCGTGTCCAAGACATGGAGAAGCTGGTACTTGTTGACGTTGAAGCTGGGTCATCCAAGGTCACTCGCGAGCGCGACGGTACCGATGGATGGCTAGAGAACCTGATGCAGGTTCGCTACATCGGAGCTGTTGAGACTGCAAACGCGTCTTACGGAAACGCTACCGAGTACTACATGGACCTTTCTGATATGAGCGGCTGGGCGCACATCTACCTCTTCCCCGTCAGCGGCGGAGAGCCCATCGCGCTGACATCTGGCGAATGGGAGGTTCTCAGCGTTCTCAAGGTTGACTACTCTCGCGGACTCATCTACTACACCTCCACCGAGCACCACAGTGCTGAGTCCCACATGTACTCTGTCAGCTTTTCCGGCGAGAAGACTGCCCTGGTCGACGATACCGTGACCGCTTTCTGGACCGCATCTTTCTCTTCCGGTGGCTCATACTATGTCTCTCGTTATGCCGGTCCCGACGTGCCATACCAGGAGCTCTACTCCATCAACTCCACCGAGCCAATTCGCACGATCGTCAACAACACTGCGCTTTACGAGAAGCTTCAGGGCTACGCTCTTCCCAACATCACGTACCTTGATATGGAGCATCCTTCCGGATACACCCTTGATGCCATGCTCCGTCTTCCTCCCAACTTTGACCCCAGCAAGAAGTACCCACTCATCCTCCTTCCGTACGGTGGTCCCAACGCCAAGGAGGTACAAAAGTCCTTCAACGCGCTCAACTGGAAGGCTTACATTGCATCTGATCCCGAGCTGGAGTACGTAACTCTCACCGTCGACAACCGTGGTACCGGTCGTAAGGGTCGTGCTTTCCGATCTCTCGTCACCTCTAACCTCGGTGAACTTGAGGCTGAAGACCAGATCTGGGCTGCCAAGGAGATGGCAAAGAACGAGTGGATCGACAGCGAGCACATTGGTATCTGGGGTTGGTCGTACGGCGGCTACCTCTCCTCCAAGGTCGTTGAGGTCGGTGACCCAATCATCAGCTACGCCATGATCACCGCCCCTGTCAGTGACTGGCGTTTCTACGACTCTCTCTACACCGAGCGTTACATGAAGACACCCGATATTAACCCCGAAGGCTACAACCGTAGTCGTGTCCACGACGCTACTGGCTTCAAGAACATCGCTGGTGGTGTTGTCATCCAGCACGGTACCGGTGATGATAACGTGCACTTCCAGAACTCGGCTGCGCTAGTCGACCTTCTGATGGTCAACCAGGTCACTCCTGAGAAGATGCAGAACACTTTTTTCACCGACAGTGACCACAGCATCAACTTCCACAACAACGGCAAGTTCTTGTACAAGCAGCTGAGCAAGAAGCTATACGAGGAGAAGGCTCGTAAGGGTGACAGCTTTGGCGGACATCAATGGAGCAAGAGGGCTTTGGGACGGAAATGGAGGGCTTGAACGCGCTTCAAGTTCAGTCAAAAGTCATGTAATCTTTAGTTCCAACAATGCCATAATGTAATGAGTATCCAAAGGTCTACCAACTCTCACTTCACACCTCATCTTGTCAAGCACCCTCTTCACTATTTACCTCGTTTCGAACAATTATGCCTTCTTCGTACTCGTCATCATGTCGTTTCGAAAGAATCAACGCGTCCAGATCGACAGTGCCGTGTCGAGAGCGCCATGCGTTAGGGCGTCAAGGTCTGCAAGGCGAATTGCCGCTTCTAAAGCTGATGTGTGTGTGTCTAGGTAAATAACCGAATCAGCAAGGGTGACAATCAACGCTGATGCATGAGACAAACGCGATTTCTAGGCGTATAGTGAAGAATCTAGCACTCGCTAGTCGCATTGCGCTCGTCTGAGACTCCAATCACTAACAAACAAACCAGCGATATAACACAGCTCAGAACGGTCTATCGCCGCCACCACATCTACTGAACGCTTGAACAGACCTCACCCTAGCCGAACAACATTGCAGACCAGACCCGTCTTACGATGACGGTGCAGCGCGAAGACACGCCGAACGACAACTCCCAAAAGTTTCAACATATGAAGACAGTGTCCAGTCTTGCGGATGGACACCGCTACGCACTACAGTACTTCCCCGAAGAGCTGCAAGCGCTGCTAAACATAGCCTCGCTCAAGCTCGACGAGCGTGTCCCTGGTCACTTCGGCGCGATCCTAGGATGGCAGAAAGATTCTGGAGAAAAGTCTGAGCACCCACGGGTGACGATGAAACCCTTAGAGATTCTCTGGGATCTGGAACACTGTACTATAGTACTGTCCGATTCGTTTCCATTTAGTAGGAGTACTTGGAAGGTCGTTGACATTGATGGCGAGGAAGCACTACCAGTATTGCGGCGCGACTACGATCTTGTACCGCCATTCTCCACGATCCTCACAGTAGTTGACCATGAGCACTTGGTCTTGCTTGAGGTGTTCTTCCGCTATAGTCTCTTGGTACAGGGCTTCGACGACGCTATTGAGGGGTTCAAGCACGACTTCTGGCTTTGCTTCGAGAACCTTTGTCGCCATGTCGCGGAGCAAACTTCGGCAGCCGATGCGCGAGAAAAAGAGGACGACGCGTATGAGTCTAAGAAGACTGAGGCGTCCACAGCTACTCAGATACAAGACGCAAAGCTTGATACTCTCACCAACGAAGCAGATAATAGCGAGCGCGCACACCAAGACAGCAGTACAGCACCGGAGACCAAGAGGGAACAGGCGGAGGCTACCGGCGACCATATTGAAGAACAGCTCGCAAAAGCGCATAAGGAAGCAGCCGGATGGAAAAAGGCTTATGAAGGTGAGAAGAACTTCTCAGCAAAACTAAGGTTTGTGTTACGTAAGCACGTGGCAAGGAAGGATGAGCTTGCAGCCAAGCTCAAAGAGCGAGAAGGGGAAGTGGAAGAGTGGAAGGAGAAGTATGAAGCCTTGTGCAAAGAGATCCGGGAGGCTTAAGCTATCTTAACCGCTTACGGATGTAGCTGGTCGCATAACATGGGAGTGAGAGAAGGTCGGTCAAGTAATATTATCTAACGACTAGTATTGAGCACACATACTCGCTGAAGAGTTCATATTGAGCCCACATCTTGTGTTTTCGATATTGATAGCCCTGCAAACATCACAGCTACTTGAAGCCACCTTGGCCCCTACTGACCCTCACCTTATCGGGTGACGGGTCTCAATAAGTTTCACTACTTCGACCATTGCCATCATCTGCAAACCGGTGAGGCCTCCAATTGCCTCCACCGCTACTGGGCCTGCTTCTATCACCCCTACCGTATTGTCCTCCATCGCCGCCATTATCGGAGCTCTGATAACTACCTGGACTACTAATTACGGGACTAGAACGCTCTGAGCTCCTACCCCTACCAAATCCGCCTCTGTTACCAAATTCACCTCTTCCGCGGGGACTGAAAGATCCACGGCGACTGCCGGGACTCATGTCGACAGGACTAGAAGGTTTCGAACCCCGACCGCTACCGTAGCTGTTCCTGCTGTCAGGTCTACTCCTGTTAGGGTTTGGAAAGTTCCCATGGAAGCCACCTGGACTGAAACCTGCGGAACTGGGAGATCCTGGGCCTCCACGACTTTGCGGCCGAGAGGAGTTTCCCCGTTCGTTTTTGTTGCAACCCGTCTCTCTGCAATGCTTAGGCCAGTCTAGATACCGCCTTCCATTGGGCAATTGGATCATCTCGACCGGGACGTCAATGTTGCAGTACCTGCAAAGGGCTGTTACAATGTCAGACGTGGGGGACGGGCCAGCTGGCAGTGACGACGCGCTGCTATGCGGGGTAGTCGCGTCTGAAGCATTGTTTCCCACACTAGTATCAATAGTAGGTTGTGGTTTGGGGGCTGGGGAGTCGGGGCTCTCTTGCGCTGGAGAGTTGGTTGATGAGAGCGCACTCGGAAGGCTTGCTGTTCGAGCAGAAAACTTCTGGATCTCTGGATCGAACTCTTGTTCATCTTCATCTGCCCAGCTTTTTCCTGTGGCTGGACTTCCACTGGCCTCGGCGGCTGGCGCCATGGGAAGTTTCACTACAGGGCTTAAGGCTTCATCAACTTCTGCGCTTTCGCCATCGGTTGTCGGTCTCCCGTCTGGGGCTGTGGGAGGTTGAGCGGCCACCTCTACCCAGCTATCATCAGGTGCAGCTCCTGACGTGTTTGATTGCTGAGGTGAGGTCGGCAACTTCGTCATATCTGGCTGCAACTCGTCTCTCTGCTCTGGAGCGTCACTAGAACTGTTGTCCTGTAACCCTTCGCCATGCTCCTCAGCTTGATCTTCACTTTCCTTTGCCTGACTGTGCTCTTCCAACGTCGCTTCTAGATCCATCTTTTGCCTCTCCAACGACTCGACTTGGCTCGTGAGACGGTCAAGCTGCTGCTTGTTCTGCACTTCATCCGCTTTCATCGTTTGGATATGAGCCTCGTTCTTTCCGATGTCTTTGGTGAGTACATCATTTCTGACTTCTAAGTCAGCGCTCTTGAGACTCTCTGCCTTTAGCTTTTCTTTGAGTTCATCTACGATCGCGCTCTGACCCGCTTCCGACTGTCTCGTGCCCTCATCAAGCCCAGAGAGCCTCTCATTTGCTTCTCTTTGCTGGTCCCGTTCATGCTCAGCTGATGACAGATCATCTCGTAGTCTTTTGACCACAGCCACATGGTTTTCGATCTCGTATGCCATTCTTTGCTGATCACTTCGAGATGATGACAGGCTTGTCTCCAAATCACTGATCATCGAAGACAGACGGTTGTTCTCTTGTCGCATCTCATTCTGATCGCTCTGCGCAGTTAATAGCTTACTCTCCAATTCCTCGAGTTCAGATGACATTTGCTTCATCTCCTGTCTCGCGGTAGCCCGATCGTTTTGAGCCGATGCCAGCTTTTCCTCTAGTCTCTCGATCTCGTTCTCGTAGTTTTTTATCGTTTCCTCCTGCTGCTTCATCGCGGGATCTCCATTGGCAGCTACGCGCTCCTTTTCTTGCTCAAGGATTCGTAAAGACCGTTCAGTTTGGGCGAGCTGAGTTTGAAGCTCTTCATTCTGCATGAGCAGTGTCTTGTACTCCTCACTCTGCTCCTCTCCATGGGACTTGGTGGCGCGCTCAAGGTCTTCCTTCAAGCTCACATTGGCCTGCTCTAGCTCGTCCTTTCGTTTGGTAATCTCGCTCATCTTGCTCTCCAGATTCTTTATATGTGATTTGACCGCCACAAGCTCGTTCGCATCCGCCGAGCTTACATCCGTTGTTGGCTGCACAGTCGAGGGCCTCTTGACACCGTGAGTACCAGCGCCAACGGTTTGAAGATGATCAACATTTTGGCTGAGATCGTTAATTCGGTCGCTTATAGTATTGAATCGATCAGTAGCTCCATCTGCCTTCTCGCGAAGCTCGCCGATACTGGCGTTGAGGGCGTTCAACTGCTGCGGTAATTGTTCGAAAGCAGCGAATCCTTCCTGCAAGGTCCTCATCTGCGCATCGTGCCACTGCTTCTGCAATCCAATGTCACGAACACGGCGAATCCAGTGAAGAAGTAAGGCTCCGGAACCGAATGCAACAAAGACCGCTGCGAGAAAAACAACATCGTCGGGTGTAGTAGGCATCGCGCTGAGCACACGTCGTGCAAAGGTGTATCTCTCCATGATTGTAGGTTTTGCTTCAAGACTAGCAGAGGTGAAACGGTGTGTCTTCAAAGTCCGATCATCTACAGGATGTTGAGCGAACATATCGAGTTCGCGTGAAACAAAGGCGCAGCGCAATAGACAAAGGCGAAAGGTTCACAAAGACGCTGCCTGAACAAAGAGGCACTGGAATGTACCCATCCTGCAGTTCTGAAAGAAGACCGATCGCGATTGCGGGTTTCGAGTTCGTCGACCCGGGGGTCCAGTAGAAGGACCATACTCCTTACCAAGTGTGAAGTGACGCACATACGCCTCAAGTAGTCTCCGGTATGTCTGACTTCTCCAGAATCTCGTCCAACAGTTCAACGAACCTAACAGCCATCTTCCTTCCGCCCGCTTCGTTTGGCTCAACCCTCGCTGCATAGTCATCGGCCAGCTTGCCATCAAGCACCTGATACAGCGCGCAAGGCACTATCTCCGTACCCTCAATCCGTATCGCTTTCGTCGCCATCTCGTATATCGCTCGAATGGCGGCTTGTAGCTGTCCCGGGTACGAGTTGTATCCTAGCGCCTTGAGCTGCGCATCAGCCCAACTGGTCTGCCCTAGTCCCGACTCGAGCGGGAAGTATATCATGCAGACGATGACGGCGCGAGGCTTGGTTTTGGCGGCAAGGCGAGCGATGTAGTCTTGGGTCTTGGTACCGAACATGTGTTTGAAGTAGTGCAGTGCGCTTGCGGTCCCGTTCTCTAGGCTTTTGCGTCGGGTCAGCCAGGCGAGCTGTAGCATGTGTCGTATCGTGGAAGGATTCGGTCGCAGCGCAATGTCGTTGGCGCCAACGCTGACGATCAATACATCGTTCGAACGTAAGTTGTCGCGAATAAACTCGTCATGCGGTAGAAGTACGTCGTCTCGATCTCGAAGCATGGATTCTTCTACGGCCGTGTTAATGCAGGTCGCACGATGCTCGAGCAGGTTGTTCATCCAAAACGCGACATCTGGCTTCGGAATACAAGGATGCTTGAATGCTTTTTCGTAAACGCTTGGCAGGTGGTTTGGAAGGATAGGACTAGTCTTGTCGACCCAGTGCTTGTTGTCAAGAGACGAATCCCCAGCCAGATATGCGATTGGTTTGTCCGGCCGTTCTGCAAGCGTAACATTGCGAAAAGTGGCGAGGTCGTCGATAGGATGGCCCTTCCACTCGAAGTAGAACCGGGCGCACTGGATCTTTTCCATCGCAAATGGGGATGAGGATGCCATCCTTCGCGAGATGTAGGCCGTCGTCAGGGAAAATAGGCTCCAGTCGGATGACCCATGCCAGCAATACGCGACGCTGCCACTACTGCCGTCAGGTGATGTCGTCTACATATTCAGGGAGAACCGCGGAGTTTGTATTGACGCGTGTTGGCGCGGGTTTGGAAGGGAGCATATTCGTGATGCGCGTGTGACGATAGACGATGTGGAAGCTATCGCGTCGCGTGGGCGCGCACGGATCCCTGCACTAACGACGTCATATCCGGTAGCTGGCCGAGCAGTGTCCAAATCAGGTAGGTCTTGAAAAGGACGTAACCCTGTAGATTGCGGTGAGCTTTCACGGGCTTGCAGCGTGTCTCGGGGAAGTTGAACGATACTGGTGAATTGGGCGATACGGGCGACTTCCAAGGTTCCGTGGCGGCACGTCGAGCAGTTCAGCATTTCATCACCCATACTTGAATATTTGAGAGCAGCATGTTCACGAACTAAAAATTGATTTTTGATCTATTCAGTGAATCGAGGCGACTTGATGAAGAAGGCTATGTCTATGCTACATTGCTGTGCCGAAACGTAGCCAAAAGCTGTTCCTGCATAGCAAACTGCTCGTTTTTGGCAGCGAGCTCGTCGGCCAACGTGCGATGCGCAGGATCCAAGCACTTGGCTTGATTACGGATCTGTGCTTCCAGAGCTTCAGCATGTGCCCGATACTGATGAACGGCCTTGTCTAGCTCGATAACACGCTTGGTCTTTTCTGCATGGTCCTTCTCGACATCCTCCATGAGGGCTACAAATTGGTTGGCAATCTCTTTGGGCCCTTTGATGTCGACTTTGGAAGTCGAAGACATGGCGCTTTTGACGCGCTGGAACAAAGAGTAGTTGCGCTTGTTGCTTGGTTTGATGTTGATTGTCAAGGCCACATTGGGTAGGTCGGGTGTAGCTCGCGTGTTAGCAGCAGAAGTGGTCATCTTGAATGGTGGGTCGCTGAGGTTGTTGATGGACTTACCAAGATCCTCCAGTCCAGCTAGCATGTCAGGGTTGATTACGGACTTGTTTGCGACAATTGGCGTGCGTGGAGAGGTCGAAACGTTT